TCAGACTTTACTGCGGGGGCAAAAGTGTGGGTGGAGCAGCTCAATGGTCCTCCCAGAGCTGGAGAGATTATTGCACAGGGAAAAGATGCTGTGGTAAGTGTATTGTTCCCCGGAGAGGAAAAATGGATTAATATTCCGATAAACAAATGTTACAGGAGAGAAAATTAATGCTTGTCATTCTATCTGCAGTTTTATATGTATCCCATAAGCAACGGCGGGTGTCTGAGTGACGGTGGTTGACTGGGTCCCCTTCCCCTACAAAAGGATTGAACCTTTGTCGAGGCGATGGATGGGCTCCGCGGACCTGGTGGTGTCGGATGTTTGGTCATCGTCCTCCATGTCCTCGCTGTCATCGCACTGAGGGCACATTTCTGTTGGGGGCTCACGGAAGGACAAGTGTTGGAAGAAGGGGTCATGGGCCATCTGGAATTGGTTAGCAGTATGTCCAACCGCACTCAAGGCACATTCACATGCAGAGCAAATGACGCTTGCTACTTGGGAAACCTAACATCTACCGGTAAGATGTACCGGTGCAGAGGATGTCTTAAAATCCGAGGAAGGGTGATCAGCCCAGGGGTGTTGGTTCAAGGATCAACAGTAACCTTTAATTCTGCAGCGTGCATCTGTGCATACCATCAGGGGAATGGTACTTGCATACAAAATGGCACAAATTGGAGTATGAAGGTTGATCGCGATTTCCGGATCAGGAATGGAACTGTAATCACAGGAGGACGCGCCTATTTGTACATATTCTGGGTGCTGCCCGACACAGCTAGAGCTACGCAGACAGCTGTAGCTCCCCTGGTTCACACTTGTCAACAAATGGGACAAATAAGGGTAGCCGAATATGTGCGATGGACTGTGAAATTCCCTCCTATTCCGCCTTGCAACAGGAGGAGGCGAGCATGGTATGACACCGTGCTAGGAGGAACTGGAACTTTGTATGGTCTGGCTAACACAGCAAACAATGAGGTAACACGAACTATGCTGTCCAACACTGGAGAATACACCGCACAAGCTGTCACCAAGACTGCAAGATGGATGCCTTCGACTGTATCTAGTCAGCTAGAAGGAAGTGATGTGTGGAAAAGTGTATTTAAATGGAATCTAAAGCTTTGGAATGAAACTTATGATGCATTGCATAATTTGTCACACATAGGTAATTGGACAGTCTGTTCCTTGCAGACTATTCATGCTGAGACACAGAGAAATAGGTTTCAAATACAGGTAATGAGTAATAACTATCATGCATGGCGAACATTATGGAACATCAGTAGTTCATTATGGCTACAGCTACATGCAGAAATGACGATTTGTAATAAATCTATGTGTACTGGATACTGGGATCAGTATAATATGACATCAGTAATGACTGTGTGTAGATATCAGATACTGCCGGTGATAACCACTAAAGGGTTTTGGTATCTCCATGTTAGTGGAGAGTGGTGGGATGTTAAAACAAATCGAACATATGAAGTAAAACACTGTGATGAGACTGATAAGGGTTTAGCCTGCCCATTGGTAAAAGGACATAGCAATCCATGTTTCACTGATTCAAGGGTCGTACTCTGTGATTGGACGGTCACACCCCCAGAGGAACAGTTTTGGCAGGTGGGTCCTAACACCTTATGCGTGGCTACAATGACCAATTCCCCACAGGTACCTTCAGTTCCCTTTTCAGGTTGTCTCAAGGGTATACATATGTGGGAATGGAATAACGTGACCTATTGGTTGAGTAATTACACTGTATCTAGTCGGCTGACTAAGATACAATGGGAGGTTTTACACTCCCCTTGGACACTCTCACTGGAACGATTCAAATGCGCATTGGATGGTTCCACTGAAGTGGCAAAATTGATTGACTCTCATAGGTCCAACCTTTCCAGGCTTATGGTGTCTACTCTTGTGGCACAAGGGGAAATAAAACATGTTGCTACATTGATTGAACAGGCTTCCGCTCATCATTGGTGGGATATATTTACAGGCATGTCGAGTACCGCTAATAAAGTGCTAATTCCACCTATGATTGCAGCATTAATTATAATCAGCATTCTAACATTGTGTAATCTTATTATTTGTTGGTATGTTATTCGATTAAGAAGAGAAATAAATTGGGTAATAATGCAAAGACTACGATGAAAATTAAAGTGGAACTACAAGGTATGTTATAAATGACGTTGGTTTTGATGGGGAAATGGTGATGGATATGTTACATAAATTAGATGAAAAGTTCAAGAGTGGAATGTAATAAAAATGAACTTGTCATCTGTTGTATAATTGCTTTATACAAGTTATTGATCACTACTGTTTGTCAATCACACTTATCATGAGGATGTAATCAAGGAGAGCCGAACATAATGTGATCATGAGGATGTAATCAAGGTAATCCTGGTGGAGGTGTGCAGCTTTGCACGCACATCAGGGAATGTATAAGGAGCAGAGCAGAGCTCAGAGCTGTTAGAGCTGTTTGAAGGATTCTATTTGACGAGGTTCATGGATTACGTTTTCTAACTGGGGTGTTCAGCTCTCCACCCATAAGCAACGGTAAGAGAAATGTTTTGTTCATGATTGATAACTTGTATGAATGCTGGTTGAATAAAGCCTTGTTGTTCCTCTAATATTCAAGTTGTGTTTCATTGTTTCTGGCGTCGACTTGACAACGATCCTGATTAAATAAATATAAAGTGTAAAAAGAGACTTTGAGTCTTTTAAGGTAATTAAAATAAAATAAAACATTTTATTTTAGAACAACCAATAAATATGATTATTTTATCCGGCCAACAAGCTCAACTGTGTTTGATTGTATTTTCTTAAATCCCATCACAGCTTCCAAATAAAGGCTTGGGTAACATCTTCAAACATCAGCTGCAAATCTGTTCTGACGCATTTCCTGCTGTTATCAGTGACAGGGGGAGGGAACAACACTGCTGTTTTGATGAAATTCAATCAGCCAGAGGCTGGGGGTGAGTATCATGTTACGTAGGAGGAACCTCAGAGCCATAAACAAACCACAGAACAGTATGCTGCTGAGAAAGACGCCGTCTTTAAGATACTTCAGCCACTAAAGAAAAAAAACATTGTTGGCATTTCTTCCTTTAATAAAAAGTTCATGAGCCTGTTAATGCTCATTAATATTTAATGAGACACATAGCATTCACAGCAGAAGTGACATTTAAATACTACAAGCATTTAGCACTAATTACCTGATGATGGTTTATGGACAAGAGGGGAAAAGGGAAATAAATTTAGCCCTAATGTCTTTTGACAAAAGGGTTCTTTAGAAATTAACATTCTACTTGCTGTTAATTCACTTTGCCATTTCAGAAGAGACTCAAGTTTTAATATTATATAGCGGTCCATGCAAAAACTGTTTTTAAAGCTAATTCTACAAGTTTCACATTGCAGCTACAGCTTGTTGTAGCCGTTCTTGTGCAGCCTTGGGCCCTTTCTGCAGGACTGTTACATTATTTACCTTTAAACAGCATCACTTTGGTAAACTGAAAGATTTAGAAAAGCCTTTGGATAAACAATGATCAGATTTGAGTGTTTTAAGATATATGGCCTTGTTAAGATGAGCCGTTAGCTAGTCAGTCCAGTCAAATTTCAATGCTTTCTTCAAATTGTCAATAAGTTGAATTGTTAGAAGCCTAAGTGCAGAAAAAGACATCTGCCCAGTGCAGTAGAGTTTGCTTAAAGAAAACGGGGCTTAGTCAGTTGCTACACTTAAAACTTTGCTTCAGACCATCTCTGTGTTTCCACACAACCTTATGTGTGGTAATAATACTGAAAGAGATGCACAGGCTTGCTCACAGCCCCACAGGGATGATACAGTATCAGACATTAGTTTCTGTCACCCTCCCTCCATGCAGGCCCATTTCCATTGTCCTGTGAAACAATGAAGCCAGTGTGGACTCCACAGATTAGGGTCAGACGTAAACGGACTACTAATACAACCTCTTCTGTTTTCAATAGACGCAATACTCCATCCCATGGGATTTATCATAGTAGTGGTAGCAAATACTTTGATTTCTGAGATCTTTTAATCTGTTTTCTACCAGCGATGAAAGTGTGAGGCGAGGTTTTGTGGGAGATATCTGTAAATGTGTGATAATCTCTTTCTAGATTTTTATTGGATGGTTGCAGAGAAACAAGTTTGCATGTGCTAGACTAGACTCAACACAGAGATGAAGTAAAACGCATTTTGGCCGTTTTAACTTGAATGATCATCCAAGTTGAATTACTCATCTATAAACTGTGGTATAAATGTAAATGTGAGCTTATAAAGTGAATAAATGTGGTGAAAAACCTGTTCAAGTCAGTGACCAAACTGAATACATCAGCTTGTGTTCCCATTCAGCCAAAAGTGTTTTGCATAATTTTCCCTCAGCGCTGACTTACTGTGGACAACTCCTCATCAGGACGTGTTGTAAACAGACTTTAATGAAACAGACAACTCCATAGGCTAGCTGGGCACTGGGTTGGCTAGCTTAGACCCACCACAAGCTGTCTTCATTCATGATACCTGTTTGTGTAGCGGTCAGCAGAATAAGGCCTTGTTGTTTACACACTCCAGTAACGTCATCTATTCAAACTTGGACCATTACTCAGATTTATATCAAGAATTGAGAACGAAAACAGTCGAAACAAGCACATTTGGACCTTTTCTGGGCGGAAGGCATCCTGCTTCTGACAGTAATGCTAACATTTTCTCTCAGGCTAACAGTGTGCCTGTGTGACAGCTAGCTGCCAATGGTGGTCTACAAATGTTTTTTTTATAAACGTGACACTCATTATCATTACTGATAAATAGCGAAAATATTTTCTACGTATATTTGACCTCCGCAAGAGCAATCTGACAGATTTAACGATAGCGTTGATGCTTGAACGGATAAATTCTACTTTCCCGTGATGGACACGTCTGTAAATGTTTAGCTGTATACAAGAACATGAAGCGAAGACATGTCAATTCTTACCATTAAATTATTTTTATTTAAACTTACCCGAAACGATGCACTCCCTATAAACGTCACTGACTTTCAAGTCAAATGTACAACGGAAATCATGTTTCATGAAGCCCCTCCTGTTCCACTATGAGCCTGGCCAATCAGCGATGAAGATGATGTAGAGCCGAACCAATGAAAATGTTCAATAAGGAAAAGAGCGCTATGTCCCGCCCAACCTTCCACGCTGACAGATATTCGGTCCAATGAGCATTAACAAAATATGCAAAGTCTTCTATCACTGGATGAAACACAAAACATACTATTTTATGAGTGAGGGGTGGGCTCTTCAAGTCTTTACCAGCAGTGACTGTAGGACAAATTACACAACTTTTTGAAAATGTGTGTCCAAATCAATGCTTCAAAAATAAATAAATAAATATACTATTTAATTGTCTGTTTTCGACTAGAAAAAAAAACAACAAGCTAAAGCAGGAGCTATCAGCAGCTAGCTACAGCACAACACACACATCAGATCATACGCCCTCTGGCGGTCACAAGGTGAAACTGAACCAATTGTAAACTCTGGGATTTGATAGGTAATAAAATATATTGGTGAGGGTCAGACAAAGAGCAGCCCAACTACCTCTTATGATGAATTATATAAATGGAAATGGTGTTCCCTCCCCGGTCTTGGGTCAACGGGGCCCCCTCTGGAGCCAGGCCTGGAGGTGGGGCACGTTGGCGAGCGCCTGGTGGCCGGGCTTTCACCCATGGAGCCCAGCCGGGCACAGCCCGAAGAGGAAACGTGGGTCCCCCTTCCCATGGGCTCTCACCACCCGTGGGAGGGGCCAAAGGGGTCGGGTGGGGAAAGAGTCTGAGTTGGTGTGTGAGGTTGAGAGGTTCTGACTAGATTTAGTCGGACTCACCTCAACGCATGGCTCTGGCTCTGGAACCAGTTTCCTTGAGAGGGGTTGAACTTTCTATCACACTGGAGTTGCACCCACTGAGAGGCGCCGAGCAGGGGTGGGCATACTAGTTGCCCCCCATCTTGGTGCCTGTACGTTGGGGTTTAACCCGGTGAATGAGAGGGTAGCCTCCCTCCGCCTACGTGTGGGGGGACGGGTTCTGACTGTTGTCTGTGCTTATGCACCAAACTACAGTTCAGACTACCCACCCTTTTTGGAGATCTTGGAGGGGGTGCTGGAAAGCGCTACTTCCGGTGACTCCCTCATTCTACTGGGGGACTTTAACGCTCACGTGGGCAACGACAGTGAGACCTGGAGAGGTGTGGTTGGGAGGAACGGCCCGCCTGATCTGAATTTGAGTGGTTTTTGTTATTGGACTTCTATGCCAGTCATGGATTGTCCATAATGAACACCATGTTCAGACATAAAGGTGCCCATTTGTGGTCTTGGCACCAGGATACCTTAGGCCGGAGCTTGATGATCGACTTTGTTGTTGTTTCATCTGACCTGCGGCCGCATGTCTTGGACGCTCGGGTGAAGAGAGGGGCGGAGCTGTCAACTGACCACTACCTGGTGGTGAGTTGGCTCAGATGGTGGGGGAGGATGCCGGTCAGACCAGGCAGGCCCAAACGTATAGCAAGGGTCTGCTGGGAACGTCTGGCAGAGTCTCCTGTCAGAAGGAGCTTCAATTCCCACCTCCGACAGAACTTCCAAAAGGTTCTGGGGAGGCGGGGGACATTGAGTCTGAATGGACCCATGCCTCCATTGTTGAGGCGGCCAACCGGAGCTGTGGTCGCAGGATCATCGGTGCCTGTCGTGGTGGCAACCCCCGAACCCGATGGTGGACACCGGCGGTTAGGGATGCTGTCAAGCTGAAGAAAGAGTCCTATCAGGTATTTTTGGCCTGTGGGACTCCAGAGGCAGCTGACAGGTACCGGCAGTCCAAGCGGAACGCGGCTCGGATGGTCGCCAAGGCAAAAACCTGGGCATGGGAGGAGTTCGGTGACATCATGGAGCAAGACTTCCGTACAGCTTCGAGGAGATTCTGGTCCACTATCCGGTGCCTTGGGGAAGGGGGTGGGGGCAGTGCACTACCAACACTTTCTATAGTGGGGACGGTGTGCTGCTGACCTCTACTCAGGACGTTGTGGATTGGAGGGCAGGATACTTCGAAGACCTCCTCAATCCCACCGACACGTCTTCCAGTGAGGAAGCAGAGTCTGGGGTTGGCCTCTCAAATCTCTGGTGCTGAGGTCACTGTGGTGGTTAAAAAGCTCCTCTGTGGCAAGGCTCCTGGGGTGGATGAGGTCCACCCGGAGTTCCTTAAGGCTCTGGATGTTGTGGGGCTGTGTTGGCTGACGCGGCTCTGCAATATTGTGTGGACATCGGGTGCAGTCCCACTGGACTGGCAGACCGGGGAGGTGGTCGCCTTATTTAAAAAGGGGGACCGCAGGGTGTGTTCCAACTACAGGAGGATCACACTCCTGAGCCTTCCTGGTGAGATCGATAGGCGGATTGGTGCTGCATCTGCAGTGATGCGGGCGTTGTACCGGTCTGTTGTGGTGAAGAGAGAGCTGAGTCAGAAGGCGAAGCTCTCGATTTACAGGTCGATCTACGTTCCTGCCCTCACCTATGGTCATGAGCTTTGGGTAGTGACCGAAAGAACGAGATTGCGGATACAAGCAGCCAAAATGAGTTTTCTCCGAAGAGTGGCTGGGCTCTCCCTTAGAGATAGGGTGAGAAGCTTGGTCCTTCGGGAGGGGCTCGGAGTTGACCCGCTGCTCCTCCACATCGAGAGGAGCCAGTTGAAGTGGCTCGGGCATCTGGTCAGCATGCATTCTGGACGTCTCCCTGGTGAAGTTTTCCAGGCACGTCCAACCGGGAGGAGACCTAAAGGTAGACCCAGGACACAGTGGAGGGACTATGTCTCTCACCTGGCCAGGGAACGCCTTGGGATTCCCCCAGAGGAGCTGGCCCAAGTGGCTGGGGAGAGGGAAGTCTGGGCCTCTCGACTTAGGCTACTGCCCCCGCGACCCGACTCCGGATAAGTGGATGAAAATGGATGGATAAAATATATTTAGTTGCACATTTTACCAGCACAGGTTTCTAGTTTCTAATCAAACATGTCAGAATTAGTTCAAAGACCATTAAATACACAACAAAATGAAAGACCCAGCCACATTTCATCTTCACCCTTGCTGATGGAAAGCAGTTTTCACTCAAAATCTGATGACACATGGTCCCATTCATTCGTTCCTTCACATAGATCAGTCGTCCTGGTCCCTTTGCAGAAAAACAGCCCCAGAGCAGGTTTCCACTAGCCTGACCAGCCAGCCCTATGCTTCCTTATGGGAAGTTCTCTGTGTAGAATTAAATAGAGTTCGAGTCTGGCAGGCCAGGCAATGTTTCCACCCCCATGCTTTACAGTAGGCATGGTGTTCTTTGGATGCAACTCAGCTTTCTTTTTCCTCCAAACACAAGGTTTTACCAATAAATTCTATTTTAATTTCATTTGACATGATCCCAATCCTTTTCTGGATCATCCGAATGCTTTCGAGCAGACTTCAGACGAGCTTGCACATGTACTGGATTAAGCAGGGGGACACGTTTGGCACAGCAGGATTCGAGTCCCTGGTAGCCTAGTGTGTTACTGATGGTAGCCTTTGTAACTTTGGTCCTAGTTCTCTGTGGGTCATTCACTAGGTTCCCCCGTGTAGCTCCGGGAATTTTTCTCACTGTTCCTGTGGTCATTTTGACCCCACGGGGTGAGATATTGCATAGAGCCTGATGGAGGTAGATTATCACGGGTCTCATCTTCTACTTTCTAATAATTTCTCGCACAGTTGAATTATTCACACGAAGCTGCTCACCTATTGCAGATTCAATCTTCCCAGTCAGGTGAAGGTCTACAATTTAGTTTTGGTGTCCTTTGGCAGCTTTTTGGTCTTGGCCATAGTGGAGTTTGGAGCAGGACTGTTTCAGGTTGTGGACAGGAGTCTTTTATAGTGATCACGAGTTCCAACAGGTGTCATTTATACAGGTATAGGGCACAGAGAAGCCACTTACAGAAGAAGTTACAGGTCTGAGAACCAGAAATATTGCTAGGTTGTAGAAGCCAAATACTCATTTAACATAATTTGTCAATCAAGTCATTAAAAAAATCAAACAATGTGATTTTCTGCATTTCCCCCCCTCATTTTGTCTCTCATAGCTGAGGTTTACCTCTGATGGAGATTACAGGCTTCTGTTCTTTTTTTAAATGGAAGAAATTGCACAATTGGAGGGTGACAAAATTCTTTTTAGCCCCAATGTGAAACTACATTCTTGAACATTCACTGAGTAATGAGATCTATTCTCAGTAACATTACCTGTTAACAACTAAATAAAATACATAGGCTGAATGGTTGAGTTCACTAGCACACAAGAGGTTAAATCAATCAGGCCAAAGAATGAACGGTATCATGTGGTTTTTTGATGTAAGACTATTACACCTCCTTGTGGGTATTACATGTAATAACCAATAATTAGTGCATTCAAGTAAGGTCCCTTCATAAATACTTTAACCCTTCCACTGTCCTATTGAGTGACCCCGCCAGGAAAGTTGACCATTGAGCAGGATTGATGGATTATCCCTTGAGGTCCACGTGGCAGGGGTGAGGTGGTGCTCACCCCAAACCATCAATCCAGTTCAATGGTCAACTTTCCTGGCGGGGTCACCCAATAGGACAGTGGAAGGGCTAAAACGCATTGGTTTTAATTAATTCATCGAATAATAAAAACACCAAATATGTCTCTTTAAAATACATATTCTTTAATGTTAAGTACATGTCCAGAAGTCGGATTACAAGTCAGCAATAGGTTTGTGAGGCCAGTAAGGATATTTGACCTTGTCCAACTTGGTCTCTGGGAAGATCTCATTGAGATCTTCAATGGTCATCTGATCAAAGGGGATCATGTTCTTAAATTTATCCAGCTGAGTAAAAACAAATCAGAAACACATCAAGTCAATTAACAAATAATTTACGTACAGGCTCTTAGTCAAGTACTCTAAGCAGCTACTTCAACCGTCTCACCTCTTCTTCATACTTGGTGATGCGGGCCTTTGAGGCTTCAATGTACGCTAAAGCAGATTTGTTCTGTTAAAAAGAAAATGCAAATTAAAAAACGCCAACAAATAAAAACGTAGGCAAATTCCTGCTTGGAGCCACTTACAGCCTCAGTCTCCTGTGCATTGATCTTAGCCGTCTGAGTGTCCACAGGTTCAGGGACCTTCAGAGCTGAGAACTGTGTGCAGTGAGAAGAATAATGTGAGTTCTGGCAGAACATTGCAATTCATCAAAAACAAACTGCCTTCTCAGTGCTGGGACCAAGGCTCTGGAATGAGCTGCCGGCCGATGTGAAGCAGGCCCAATCACCTGAGAACTTTAAAGCTGACTAAAAACCCATCTGTTCTCGTTGGTGTTTGGACACTGAAGTTGAGTTTGGGTGGGCAGCGTCACTTTGAATGTTTCTGGATCTGATTCTGGAAATAGGACTGATCTGGATTGCTAAACTGTACGCGGGAATTCTTATTGTATTTTAATGTTACATAAGTTTGTTTTATTGCTGTGTTTTTTTTTGGTGTACAGCGCTATATTTGTCCGCTTTGGGCATGTGAAAGCGCTTTATGAATAAAGTTGATTTGATTTACAATTAACACGATTTGTTTAGGGTTCTTTCTGTGCTTGTATAAAAATGACCTGTGTACTAGCAATCCTGCTCAAAGGTCTAGAGATGAAGATTTATATTTAAATTAGCTGTTCCTTTTAATATTATTTCAAGACTTTTTTTTTCCAGAATTAACACTTCACTTTATTTTTGGAAAGACAAAACAAACTCAATTTGGTGATTTCTTCTAATTCCCAACACTACTCACTTTCTTCTCAAATTCATCCACCATTCCCGGTTTGGCCACTGCGCTCCTGTAGTAACTCCAATCAATGGCTGCAGGACTCTCTGGCAGGGAAGCTAGTCTGTGGTAAAGAGAAGAAAAATAACATATTTATGTAGGATGGCTAAAACAGAGTCCAAAAGAGAAAGCCAGGAAAGCAGCGAATACAATAACTTATATGGTGACTAATAATACTACATGGAAGTAAAATATTATGAAACAAGATCAAATTAAAACCGCCAATGCAAATTCTAGAGTGTGATTATCACAGTGTGGAATGGCTCCATCAGTGATAGTGACCAGTTGCGAACTTGCAAGTGATAAGAGCTATCCTCTGATTGCATGGGAAAAAAAAAAAAAAACTCTTTCACATTACAATCTTTAAAGCAGGGGGTGTCCAATCCTGGTCCTGGAGGGATGGAATCCAGCACGTTTTGGTGGTTTCTCGTCTCCAACACACTTGATTCAGCTAAAGCCTGATTCATGCTTAAGCAAAGGCACATTTGCGCCCCCCTGCTGCTGCAGCGTTGAATCGCCTCTGTATTCATACTGGCCCGACCTGTTGCAAAGAAATTCTCCACCAGGACAGCAGGAGGCGCATTCCTAACTTATTGACCTGAATTTTGAAGAAATTCTCCGCCAAAACAACAGAGGGTGTGCTCCTATGCAGGTGTGCATACTCTTGTAGTGACGTGTCTGCCCTACTACTATTTACTATTTGCGACGCAAAAAGATGGACGACACAGACACAGAATGAATTCTTATTGAGCAGGAGCTGCTTGAGCTAGAAGAACAACAACTATTATTAGAAAGAGCACAGCGAGAACGACGAAGGAAGAGGCGTCGGTGGAGTGTCCGTCCATTGAATATGGCAAGACCGAGTACGAATACGCCGCTCTTCTTCGCCCTATAAGGGACATTGATGACAAAATGCATTTCAGATACTTTCGCATGACTGCCAGCCGATACAATGAGCTGGTTCGTCGTGTGACTTTTGAGTTGTACAAATGATCGTACTTCCTCACTTCTTCAGCGAGACGTTCCTCCATCTGCTCTATGCCTTCAGGACTGTGTCAACACTCGCGCTGTTTACATTTTTTAAGGGAATCTACGCCGTGCCGGAAATGACGTTGGGTTGTTTGGCTGACCAATAACAGACGTCCAGCATACAACGCCGCCGTCGGATGTTTAGAAAATAGAGCTAGACTCCAACCGACGTTCCAACACAATCCAACACAGTTTGATCGCCCATTCGACGTTGCATCATGGCGATCCAACAGATCCGACATGCTGGAGCAGTGTCCGTATGAATCAGCCTTTAGGTTCTGTAGAAGCCTGTAAATCACCTGCTGATTAAATTCATGTGTGTTGAAACAGGGTTAAAACTAAAACACGCTGCCCTCCAGGACCAGAACTGGGCACCCCTGCTTTAAAGACTATTACAAACATTGCTTTGCTCTTCAGAATTTATAATCTGTTGAGTTTTTTTTTTTTAAAGAGAAGAAGCCAAGACAAAAGAAAAATACAGCATTTGAGAAAGTAAATGAAATATCAAGTCACATTTCGGTAACATACTTGGCAGAAATGGCATCACTCCGAGTCTTCAGTGCGTTGAACATGCTTCGCTGGTTGGGTGGAACCCGCTCAGCAAAGGCTACCCAGTCAATGGCCTTCAGGGCTGCACGGCGGCCTGCCATCTTTACTCTGAAATCAGAAGATCTGATTAAGAATGAAGCTGTATCGGATTGCACGGTGGAGCAGTGGTTAGAGCTGTTGCCTTGCAGCAAGAAGGTCCTGGGTTCAAATCCCAGCCTGGGGTCTTTGTGCAAGGAGTTTGCTTGTTCTCCCTGTGCACGCGAGGGTTCTCTCCGGGTGCTCCGGCTTCCTCCCACAGTCCAAATAAATAAATAAATAAATAAATAAATAACCTATGACTGTCAGGTTAATTGGTCTGTCTAAATTGTCCTTTGGTGTAAGTGTGTGTGCACTTTTTTTTGTCCTATGTGTCTCTGTGTTGCCCTGTGATAGACTGGCAATCTGTCCAGTGTGTACCCGACCCGTTTGCCCGTTGACTGCTGGAGATTAGCACCAACCCCCTTCAACCTGCTACTGATGGATGGATGAAGCTGGAGCTTTTTTTTTAAATTCTAATTTAAAGTCATAATAACCTTTAGTATAATTCATACCTAATGACTTTTGACTATTTCTCAGCTGGTTTAGAAACTGTGCCACTTCCACTCAAATAACTTGCAGCAGAGACTGTAATTCCTCATTAAACATAAATAATTTATGTTTTTAAAAACGTTGCAGGTCTGTGGTGTCTGAACTTTGGTCTTTAGTTTAGTTTCTTAGCAGCTTTTGGAGAGTGACTGGCTCAACTCTGCGTCCTGCAACGTCACAGAGGCTAACTTGGTCTGCAGCAATGTTTCGGGGAGGCATTTTTGCCAAAATAACAACGATTTAATGTAAGGAACCAAGTAACCACGGCCTTACGTTCCAGATTTAAAGTTATACATTTATTTAAACCAGTCAATCATTCATAACTTTATTCTCATTACTAGTAATCGGTTTACTTACATGCTAATTGTATTCATCTGCCTTAACGAGCTGTCCCTTCAATCTAATGCGTTACTGCGCATCAATAAAAATATCTGTTTATTTAAAAAGTGTTAACGTCAAGTTTAACTGGCAGCAAAAACACCGTCCAGGGATTTGCAACGCTTCAGGCGGTTAGCCTGCTAGCTAGCCAAGGTCAGAGATATGCCTACGACCCACAAGCGTTTCCTCAAATATCGAGCTAGAGTTACGTCTTGTTTAACCCTTTATGAGCAAATATACAAGCGTGGACCAAACCTAACGTTTGTAAAACTGTTTATAAGACAAAATATGTTAGTTATTTACCCAGCTGCCGACTCACCTCGCAGCAGTAAGCGGTGTCTGTGACAGGAAGCAGCGGAAGTGCCTTTATCTGGATAAAAAGCTGCACAACTCACTACCGCCTTCTAGCGGACAAGATGAGTAATTACACGGACTTTCAAAACAGCGACTCGTAAACTCAGAATTTCTGTTTAAATGCTTTTGCGGGTTTGTATCATTGCTTTGATGTTTTACTATTGAAATTATAAACAAACTTCGTGCTTTATTGATTTTATATCACATTTTGGACTTTTTATTATCAGAAATTTGAAAATTTATTGTTTTTGTAACAATTGACACTGTACAATGAAAGTAGGTGCACTTTTCCAGTGCAGAATAAAACAATCACACTAGTTAAGACTAATAAATAAGATAAAATAAAGAAGGATAAGGAACATTATTACGTTGGACAATTTTAAAAATCGGAATCTTATGTGTGCAAAAGAGGAAAATCAAGAGTTGAACAAACATGTATTTTTTTTTCTTTATTTAGACCCAAAGAAAGGTTCTCATAACGCAGTTTGTATAACGGTCCATGAAAGAAGAGCAACATAGATCTGTAATGCAGCTTTCAAAAATTTAAATGGCAAAACCCTTTAACTTTTAAATTTGACACAAATTGCATGACCTTCTGTAAAAGGCTATTTTCAAGGCCTAACGCAAATTAAAATATTTTTTGTACAAAAATGTTATGAAATAAGTTTCATGCAGTTTTGCACGACTTTAAATGTTTCCCTTTAACTTTCAAGACTTTATTAAAGGTCTTCAATTTGTTATTGCAACGCATTTGCCATGACTTTAAAGGTATAATAAATGACTGAATGCAAAATAAAATGGGTGAAACCTGCACTAAGTGACAGGCATACATTTCAACTGGGGAAAAATATCCACCATGTTGTGTGAAAAGTTAAAGAATATAGGTAGCATGCAAAATAAAATAAAATAAAAATAAACGTCATAGACTGAGGTTTTGCAAGTGGGGCCATTTATAAAAAAATATTATTTGGAAAAGAAAATACTAATAATGAGACCTGCTAAATTGCAGACTTCATTAAGTTGCACGTGCGCACACGTGGGTCTGATTTGAAAATTCAAATACAAATAAAATAGTATGGAGGAAAAATGCACAAAGTCCCACAAGAATTCAGTCACTTTGTTGTATGGCGTTTATTTACTAAAAGCTATTTTGCAAAGACAGAGTGATGTATGTACACAGTACAGATACAGGCATTAATAAATATCACTCCATCTGCTCTCCAAGCAGAGCGCAGGGCTTTCTGAGCGCTACGCATTTTATTTACACTTACAGCAAAAATCCTCACATCAAACCCAAAACCACTCCCATAAAGGCCACAACGTGAGTTAAAAACTAATAAACTCATTTGTCTAAAATATAATTTGGTCCTTTTGTTTATTTGAATTGATTTTAGAAATATAAAAATCCAACTGCAGGAACAATGACAGAAAATGGTCACGTTTGAATGAGGAGAAAAATATATTTCAAGTAAACAAGAAACGGTCCCATAAGGCACTGCTTAAGCACTTTTCTGTCTTCTCTTCATCTGCCTCAGATTCGAGTCTGGACTCATTAAAATTGTATTTTTTGAAGTAAGATTTTGGAGGTTGGAAAATACCTGCACTTATGAATATACTCACTTATTCAGAGAAATGCACACATTTATAAGATTTATCTCACGTTTTATCTCCCTTCAGTGGACTTTTTCATATTTCATTCTTCACAAAGTTGTGGCCTCGTAATCAGCCAAACATACAGTCATGTAAAGAATTACTAAGACAAATAATACATCCCATAAGTGACCGGTCCACTGAACAGTCCCGGTACCGGCAGGCTGGGCCTCGGGAAGGCGTTCGACGGGCCCCAAGACGGGGAGCCCATGTGAGCTCCGAGGGGGAAAGGCAGCGCGAAGGCGGGCAGGACGGGCTTTGATGCCAACTTAAACTTCTCCAGTTCGGCCTCCTGCAGTCTCTTGGCTTTGGCTCTCCGGTTCTGAAACCAGATCTTCACCTGCGTTTCCGTCAGGTTGAGAGAGTTGGAGAACTCCGCTCTCTCGGCGATGGAGAGGTACTGCTTCTGGCGGAACTTGCGCTCCAGGGCCAGCAGCTGTGAGGTAGTGAAGGGCGTTCGAGGTTTCCTGTTATTTTTGTGTTTCCTTAAAGTACACTGAGACGGACTTGAGCTCCCTGCAACACAAAGTGGATCAAATTAGGCGCACTTTAAGCAAAAGAGAACGAATTTCCACTTTTAAAAGACCCACAAACGCAAGAAGATGCGCACAGACAGCCCGAAAACGTTTTAAATGGATCCTCTCTCACATTTGGAGAGTGGAGTCACCTTGTCACCCTTAATAACACAGACAAATTCAGCTTTATACAATAATCTGACAATTACGCACCATGTTTTGGGTAAAACTGAACAAGACATTTACGCACAGCCCGTTGAGCCATTTGAAAACAAATAAACATTAATTGTGGTGACAGACTTTGTTATTAAATTACATTATGTCCTGATTTGATCACTGATAGCAGAGATGAGATGATGAAAAATGCACCGTGTGTGTTTTTCCTCCCGGATAACAGCGGAGGGGCGGACTTACGAGGAGGTGTAGAAAAGGAGGACGTCTGAAACCAAGTGCTCTGCTCTTTCTCACAAAACCTCGGACTGTCCTCGTCGGAACTTCTGGAAACTCCCTGTGAACCCTCCGCAGAAACCCTACTCTCTGCGTAACACGTCCTTGGAGAGAACTGTGCGCCCTGCGCCGACGGCGGCTTCGGCAGCATCACAGCCAACTCAGAGGCAGAGTAAGAAGTCCGACAGGTGCTCTTCTTGGAAATCAACGACTCGACACTAAACGGAAGGCAGCTCCGCTGCAGTTTGTATCCTTTCTCTGTTGTCATGTCTTTGGGCTGGATATCCTCGCCCTCTGCGTCCGTCTCCTCCTTCGTTTGGAGCTGCTTGACGTCATGCGACGGTGACCCCTGCCCAGGATTCATCATGGTACAAGGAGATGGGGCCATGCACCTCCGTGCGGCCAGTTCAGAGGTATCGTGCTGCTGGAGCGTTCCGTCTCCAACGTGCGTCTTTGCGCTTTCAGCGAAACCAGAAGCTTTACGCGCAGGAACTCTGTCGTCTATAAGAAGGACAGGGGCTGTTCCCATCCTGGCTCCCGCCAATCAGCACGTCAAGTTGTCTCCGTGACGTGTCTGGGAACTGTTTTGATTGGCCCTCTGCCTTTTGAGAGGAGATCAAGAGGCCTGTGAAAGGCAGGGGACGTTAATCATACAGACCCCATGCGGAGCGGGGTTATTGATGGCTCTCACAAAGTAGCTTTGACCAATTTTAGCGCAATTAAGCAGTGGGGATGACTTCTCCCCCTGTTTTGACCATTTACATCTATTAGCAAGGCATTTCCACCGGTGCTGGCTATTATTTCCGCTGTAACAACGTGCAGAAAAGTAATTAACAAAATATGTTTTTTTCCCCTAAAAGGAATAAAAATCTGAAATGTAAGTTTTGTTCCCCCTAAAAATTAAACCATGAGAAATGAAAAGTTAAATAAAAGGTCGCATCTGAATAAAAGCTCCTCGCTGCCGGGATAGAACTGGATGACTGTTGGTCGGTCACACAGCATTAGAGCAATTTAAGGCCTGTCATGAGCTCTTCTCCCTCACAATGGTCCCGGTTGAGAAGCAACAGGCGTTTTCTTTCTGCAGGTCATACTATTTAATAAGCCAGACAAGTTGTGTTTTGCAAGGCGCCAGGCTCGGCAGGACCAAAAAGGAAGATACCTCCGGGAGAAGAAGGCAGCGGTTAGCTCCACTTAACCAATTGTCCTCTGAATATCTCATATAGCTCACTGCTTGGGGCCGGGAGGAAGAGAACTGTTGCATTTATGTTGGCATGAATGGTGGTTCTGAAATGATACAGGAAGCTATGGGGGATGGGGGAGTAATTAAGTGTTTTTGTGCCATTTTATTTGGTTGGCTATTTATGTGTTCTTACTGCCAGGTCACACTGATATTAGTTTATGTTTATTTGACACTTTTATCCAAGGTGACTTACAATTTATGATTATAATTTAGTTATAATTAAAGCATAGAAAGTATTTATTAAAATGTCAGAAAAAGCCAAATGAAAACTCAAGCTGATTGAAATCCATCTCCAGGAAAAAAAACCATGTTAAATGACATTTTAGGAGAATTTCTAAAAACAACTAAGATGTTTGGATGATGGTCTAAATTCTTGTCTTTCAGCGCATCCCAGCTGAACATGTCAGCAGCACTTTGTGGTCGCCAACCCAACACAAAACCCCGCTGAGAACTCTGCAGTCGTCAACACTGTCAAAGACACAAGAACTGGACTAGTGAGAGGATTTGACTTTTTTTGAGAACTTAAGCCACCACACACACCCTTGATCCCCCACAACAGCTTTATTTGCCCACTTTGTGATTTAATTCTCAAGCAAAGGCAGCAAATGTATAAATAGACCTTCAAGGTGTTTCATCTGTTTCTCCTAAAAGATGCAGATTTGATAGAATTCCTACATCAAGGTCACCGGCTGACGTGTTTAAAGCCCTCAGGTGCAAAGAACAGGAACAATCCTCCCCTTCAGGAGGTGCAACTTTTAGCTGATGATTCAACAGAATCCTGATGTTGAGTCTGCTCCTTCATTTCCTATCAGACAGAACCAGCCTCTTGTCACCCAGCTGGTTTGTGTTTAAATACCAACAAACGCGTCTCGGGTCCACATCAGTGTCCAAGGAGAGGATGAGAGTCGGGCCGTGAAGTTCACAGAGATTCATGTGATACGGTTACACCCAGAGACAAATCTGCATGAGAGGTGCAGTTACCTCTCCTCCCCTGGTGTTTGGCTGAGTGTATTTAACGTTGGGTACCCCCACCCCCCCCTTACTCCAAAGACATTTCTGTAACAGCATGCAGGCGAGTGAGCTGTGTCAGAAGGTGTTAGCGAGTTTGAAAGCAGATCTGTTCTTCAAGGCCGATGCGAGCGCGATGGGAAGCACTTTCCCCTCAGCTGGCACCAGAAATGAAACCTTTTCACGTGTGTGTTCAGGGGCCTTTCTGCACACAGGCCAGCTCTGGTGAAACCGCTTTCTGCTCCGTAATGTGCGGGGGCCAAGTGGTGGCATGGGGTGAGAAAATATGGGTTTCTCATGTCATATTTCCGTCTAAAAAAAAGAGCAACGAAAATGGGGAATGATCAAACCCATCTGCAAAGGAATGAATCGAGCTGATCAAGTAAGGCCTACAAGAAAGCAAAATGGGATTCAAATTTATTCTTTCTTCATTCTCACTCTTCTTCTGTCATTTAATGTAAAACTAATATTTGGCATCTTTTTGTGCTACATGTGGGTCTCTTCTTCCTCTAGAAACACTCCAAACTAGAAAATAATCAATCCATTCATTTTAGGTCTGTGTTTTGTTTTAGGAAGTATGTGCCTAAAACAAGCCGTTCCAAAAAGTCCCTGTTTGTGATGTCACAAATGGTGACTTTGACATCAGCGATGCGACATTCACAAACAAATTGAATCCTTTGAATGGTTCTTCAAAGTGAACGATGAGAGCCGAGTCCTTGTAGAGGACTGTCGTCTTCCGGTAAGCACCCCCCACTTTGCTTCGCTCAAAGAGCCGGTCTTTTCAGTGGCTCTTTGGCTCCCTTCAAAGAGTCGTAAGTCCCATCACTATCAGCCTTTCCTGGATATTGGAGCTTCCCAGCTCATAGCAGCCTGGATGGGGATGTGTGGGCGTGGCCAGCTCCAGCTTTTTTTCCCTAGAGCCCTTAAACGGCTCATTCTGGAAGGTACTGAAAACGTCAGGAAACTGCTTTATGTCAGAGGGGTTTCATGTAAGGAACTTCACAAAAATGTTTCATATCACCCATTGAACTATTATAACTTAAGAACAAAAACTTTAGAATATATTTAAAGCAGCATGAAAAGAGTTGCAGATTCCTATCGGAAACATTTTCAAGACAAATTTGCTCATTACTCTTTCCAAAAAAGCCAGCAGTCACCATCCAGATGCACACTTTGAATTCTCAGCCCTTTCTCGGCTCTCACATCAGGAAGTTGAAATAACAGTTATTTGCGTTGTTCGGCACTGTGGAAAATTTCTTCGACCTTTCATTTGACTTAACAAGTCGATTCCGTCCACATCAGACTGGCTTCAGTCCTGCACTTAAATGTCGGTTTGACATTTTCTGCCAAAGCCACTTCCCCTTGTGGCATCCGTGTGCCCCTGTGTTTGAGCGTGGAGTAATGAGGGAAATATTCCGTGCGAAAGCAGGGGAAGCAAATTGCCTCCATCATGGCGTCTTTTTTGGACTGTAAAAAAGCAATCAAGGAGTTAGAGTGTCCTGCGGTTTTACAGCTGCTCTTTTTTGAGTCAAACCAACAGAGTCCATTTCATTAGTCGTGGCGGTGGAAACTGATGTTTGCTCACATGTTGGTGCTGGTTCCATTTTTCATCAACACGTTGGTACACTGCTCCTTAAAAACATTCATGGAGAGCCTTCTCCAGAATCAGCTGCTGATAAGGAGGAAAAACCACGAGAGGTGACAATGAAGTTGGTAGTTTCATCTGGCCCGCTGTCGGCCATAGAAATGCACATACTTGAGGAAAGTCTTGAAACAATGCTAGTGGGCGAGTAAGGTTGAGCTGTTGGGACGAGGAACTCTGTGTGGCTACTCCGTGGTCTCACTCACAAACCCAAGAATGTCCCCACAATCTCTGACGCTCTTAGCAGCCAAAGATGTGATGAAGTGCATCTGAGAAAAGAAACCAGGCAGTAGTATCAATTTTCTCTTTTCACTGCAGAACTGAAGGCCAAAACCAGGAACTGTTGTGTAAATTACAGCAATTTGGTTTCCATCTTAAGAAAATATTTACTAATATTTAAACTCAGTGAGGTGAAAATATAGAGTAGTGTGTTATTTATTTTATTTTTAATGTTGCAGAAATGCAGGTAAATTTATTATTGATTAACAGAATGAAATGTTATATTTTATTGTGAAAATCAAATCTAATGTATACTTTTTTAATAATACAGTTTTGTATTATTCATACATTTTTATGGGTTTCTGAATTAAATAGATTTTTTGTGAGATTTTTTGAGGAAATTTAAACACAAAAAAAAACAATAGTTTGTTTGAGTATTCAAAGTAATTTATTTACCCTTTTTCCAAGGATTTTCACGTGATTGAGGAGGGGTAACCACAACAAAATAATGTCCAGATGAAGCCCAGTAAGTAAAAAAAAAAAACGATAACACAATCTGACATTGAGTACAAACAACCTCTAGAATAACTACAAGCACAAATTAAAAATAATAAATAAAATAACCTAAATTTTATTATAAAGGACCAAGAAAAAGTTCAGTGACGACTTAAAAAAAGTTTCTAAAATATCACGCTTCACAATTTATTTTTGCGTTTCCACTTATTCTTGCTGATATCAGAAGTTATACACGAGTAAGTCTTCATCCCCCACCTTCATTCTATTATCCGACTCATCACATAAAAAGTTTGTAAGTCAATAAAAGTAAAAAGGCGAGTTTTAACACAAAACTTTTGCGATTACACTGTTGAAGCCAACGCTTGTCACACAGTAATAATGTTATTGCAGGCACCAAAGGTCACAACAAACGAGTGTGTGTGCGTATGCGTGTCTGCATGTGTGTGTTTGTTTGAATATCCTCAGATTACAATTTCAAAGTCCTCCCTGAGAGCATGCTAACAATGGAGAGGGTGGGATGTTAAAAAGAAAGAAAGCAGGGTTTCTTTCAAATAAACAAGCGTGAGTTGACCCTGAATAGAGCTGCTACCGAGCAGCCGGATTGGTTCTCAGGGGCAGCAACTCTGCAGGCTCCCCTCTTCCTCCCCCTCATTTTTCTCTTCCTCAGCTGCCAAACAAACTGATGCGATAAACACAAACAATCAGATGAGAGGCCTTGTGACTATAATTCAGCACCTTTTCTCAGTTCTGGACCACTTCTTTACTTTCCTGCTTAACAGAGGCATAGACGGGAAAGTTGATGGCGAAGTAAGCCCCCTCCCCTTTTCTGTGCTATTGCTTAATGAGCCTGAAAATACAACAGCACTGTGGTGGCTGAGAAGATAGCCTGCAGGCTGGAGTGTAGTAAAGTGAGGAAGCCTGGAGGGCCGAGTCTTGCTGAGATGTGGTGGAGAGAGAGAGAGAGGGGGGGGGGTGTCCTGTTAGGACGGTCTGTGCGGAGGAATCAGAGTGGATTGTCGACCTGACCGGAGCTCACGGGGCCACTTGTTGTAGCCTCGCTGCTGGTGTGTGAGATTTATTGTGTATTGGCGACCATTATGTGAGATGTCAGTTGTTTGTCACATTTCAAACCCATAATTCCAGTCAAGTTGCACACAATGACTCCTTTTGAGCCACTACTACAATCATCATTCAGTTTAATTTTCCATTCTTCTGCAGATTCCAGGGCGAGGCAGCGGACGGGAGAGTTGCTCACGTTGCATATGTCCTCTTTCGAGTCTGAGGTGCTCTTTTGACCGCTCCGCTTGGCATCTGCTGCCCATAGCCCGTCTATATCTGCATTCTAATGCACATATCCTGCTGGGATGTTAACTTTGGGCCTTCTGTAATTGATGGCTTCCACACTTCAGCCGAGTCCCCCCCCCCCTCCTCTCCCTGCCGATTGTTGGTATATCTCTGTGATTTGGGGGTCTTTCAAGCAACCATTGTTCTTTTATGGAGGAATTATAATAGACTAAAGGGCAGAGAAAGAACAAAGGAGGAAAGGGGAGGGGATAAAAAGAGAGTCACTGCTGATATTTAGTGAACTCCAAAGGGGGAGTTTTCATTCTCATTCTGCAAGTTTGGCACATGCCTTCTGTTACTAAGTGGCAGTGCTTTGAAAGAGCTTCTTGCATTTCTCATTCTGCAGCTCCGCTAGGTGCCTAGACTTACAACCCTGGCAGCTGTTGGGCCTTCTATGCAGCTATAGACGCCTCTCCACAGGTGAGCTCCCCTACCAAACTTCCAGTCTCCACTCCACTCAATAGGGCCCTTTTCAAGCCTTTTATCTGCAGGCAGAGGCTGACTTT